ATGGTCGCAATACAGGAAGTGTTTGAAGACAGAATTGTCAGTAGAGGACTGTGGCCTCCCAGATCCCCAGATCTCAGTATTTCTGATTATTATCTTTGGGGCAACCTGAAGCAAAAAGTCTACAAAAATAATCCCCGCAGCATTGATAGTCTTCAAAATGAAATTACACGCGTAATTCATTCAATTACCGTCGACGAACTGCAGAGAGTGTCGCGTAATTTATTTGTGAGATGCGCGGCATGTTTGCAAGCAGAAGGAGGTCACTTTTTAGCACCTGTTATAAACCACGGTAAGTTATCTTTTTACTGTATTCTTATAAATGTGTGCATGTAGAGCAACTGATGGACGGAGACTCAGCGACACCACTACACTCACGCTATCGGGGAACGGCACTGCAGTCGCGGGGAGGAGTTGCATCCGTTCTGCGGTGGTATGACTCACTGCAAATTGCAGCCGCGGCATGCACTTGATTGTACGCACTGTATTAAAGAATTATATAAGTTCAGTAATTGCAGTGAAGTTATTATTACTTATTGAAGAGCTGCAAAAATGTGTGTATTGACTTTTCTATGCCCCCCCTGCCATCCATCTGTATGCACATACATTCATCCACATGTAATCTAACAAACTGCTGAATACATTTTCATGGAATGTGATAGTAGAGACTTCAGTTAAGTTTGTCATCTAGGATATGCATGTAATGGCCATCTTGTAGTGCACCCAATTTCATATGTCAATGCAAATCAGTGCAACAGGACACTAAAATAGAACATTTTGTCATCTAGTTTTGGTTAAAATTGCGGAACTATTTCAGATGGTTTGCATGAAGACCTAGATGTGTGTCTGCAAGTCTTCAACATAACGTGTACATAAAAAGTGTCTTGAAGTAGAAATGTTCACGTGTGCATCTCATAGTGATTGAGAGTAAACTATTTCCTGTCCCCCCTCAGCAATTAAACAGGGCTATGTACACTATCTGTAATTGTTTCCTCTCAAAAGCAAATGGATGTGTAGCAGTTAACTCACTACTAATCAGTTATTACTTTTAGATACATTCTGTATGATATGCTATTACCTGGGCTCATGTTCTGCTTGAAACTGATAGCATTAGTAGTGGTAAATGGAAGCAGCATGTTGAGTACATATCTTAAGACCATTATTTGTAAATCTGCAAAGTATGATCAATAATAATATATGTTATTTTATAATTGTTCAGCTAAATCTGTTTTTACAACTTCTATTTTAAGGTGTATTAAATGTCTGTTAACCAGCCTGGCCCTGTTAAACTTCTTATTTAATCTGGCAAACATTTTTGCACAGATAATAATTTTGGGGTGAATGAACCTGTTTTACTTTATGCTGGTGGGAAGTCTGGAGCCTATTTAATTTATGTTTGACTTCATCGAACTTTGTTACATGAGTACAAGTTGATGTGTGCGTCACATGTTGAACTGAGGAGTGCTTTGGAGTGGCTGATACAGCCCAAGGCCTAAGCTAGTTTAATTTGAATAAAATATTATGTTTTAAGAGAACGTACTTGTTATTAGCAGGTCACCAAAATCTTATTTTATGAATGGTGCTTAACAAAATTTAAAGCCCGTAATAATTCCATTCTGTTACGTTTGCTTGGAGCTGGGATAATGTAGTCAGTATAGTGACTGGATGGCTGAGGGGTCAGAGTTTGAGTCCCGGTAGAGTGAAAATTTTTCTCTACCCCACGTCCAGACCACGTCTGGAGCCTACCCAGCTTGCAATCCAGTGGGTGCTGGGGCATGACACTGACCACTCGCCTACATCTAGTGCCGCGGTCAAGAAAATTTGGATCTGTACTTCCATTCCCCCATACATATTCATGACTTAGTGCTTAATTAGTTAAGCACAGGAGCAGCCATCTTTTATGTTTGGTCAGGGGGCATGTGGTAGCACAGTTGGTCGAGATACAATACTACAAGCAGGTAGGCCGTGGGTTCGATTCCTGACAGAGTAATTGGATTTCCCAGTTGACCTAATCCTTCAAGCCACATTATGGCCCTGGGGTCGACTTGGCCTCTTAGCAGAAATTAGTATTATATTTGGTCATCTGAGACTTCAGTTCTTCCTTGAATTAAATTATGTTTTCATCTGTACCCTTTTTATGTTCTAAAAATTACAATGAAGGTTTTAAACTGTCAGTGATCATCACCGTTCTGTCCAGTCAGCTGATTAAGAGAGGCCTAGTTTTTGGTTTGTTTAGTGTACATGCTTCTAAGTGTTCTTTTACTTGATATTTTTATGGGCTTCACAGGAGTTTTGATGGCACCTGGGTGATTTGGGACCATTCAGTAGACAAATATTTCTTACCACTATCAAAATTAATAGAATATACAGTATGACAATATAGAAATGAGAGCGAAGACTATTCATTTGGAAATCACTAGTTATAATAAATTTGTTCCACAAAAATATCTTCATGCAGGTGCACAGTTTAGTGGTTTCTTCTGCATAATTTGCTATGTATTGTCTTATTTAAACTGCATTGAAAGGCTGTGTTACATAATGGTAATAGTGACACAGATGTTTGAGCTGTAATGTGTTTCCTTCTGCAAATGCCTCGTCAAGCAGAAAATTGTGTGCTGTGAAAACAGATGCTGTCACCATCAACATATTGAATAGTAGAGTTGGTAATATAAAAGCATTTTCTGTTCATGTTAACTTAAAGACTGCCACCATTTTTCAGATGATAAAGTAGAGAGAATTGGAACAAATTTTAACATCAGTAGTCCTCATTCTCAAGTTTTATTATAGTTTGAACTGCAGTGTTAGTATTTGAGTGAAGTAACCTGAAATTAATTCCATATAATACTGTTAGAAAAGCAGAGCACACGAAGATTAATTCAGTATGTACTTTCATGATTTGTTTATTCCGTCTTGCAGTGCGTACACTTATCTATCTTCTTCTCTCACTCTCACTACATGTTTCGGCATAAAAATGCCATCTTCAGGTGCTACTCAATTCACGTCAAACTAGTACATTGTATGCCTTGTCTTCACTNCGTAATAAGATACGACGTAGCGATCGGGAACCCTGAACAGTTTTAATATTTTTACGATTGACATTTGTCAATATATATGATGGACATATATTTTAGTTATTTTAAAGTGAAGACAAGGCATACAATGTACTAGTTTGACGTGAATTGAGTAGCACCTGAAGATGGCATTTTTATGCCGAAACATGTAGTGAGAGTGAGAGAAGAAGATAGATAAGTGTACGCACTGCAAGACGGAATAAACAAATCATGAACTTAAATCAGTGCAACAGGACGCTAAAATATAACACAGTATGTACTTGTATCAAAAAAGTTCCATTGTATGGAAAACTGTTGTGTGCACAAACAGTTGAATGTGTTCATTGCAGTAGTGATTTGATTAGCACCATAATCACATTCCAGAGTTTAGCATACATGTCTTGGAAGAGGAGTAGTGGAATTTGTGGCATTATAGCCTCTGGTGGCATAGGAGTGACACTGCTATGCTGTATTGACAGTAGCTTGTCTTGGAAGAGGAATAGTGGAATTTGTGGCATTATAGCCTCTGGTGGCATAGGAGTGACACTGCTATGCTGTATTGACAGTAGCATGTCTTGGAAGAGGAATGGTGGAATTTGTGGCATTGTAGCCTCAGGTAGCGTAGGAGTGATACACTGCTATGCTGTATTGACAGTAGCTCACAAAAATGGGCTTTGTTGCTGCCACCTGCTTGGGAGAATTGGGAAGCAAGTTTGTTGCTGCTTCAACTGGCATATTCTGGTCATGCTTCATGGAAGCACAAACCTGCAGTATCCTCGAGCCCTAGAACTCTTTTACGTGTGCATGTATGTAAGTGTGGAATGGTATGCATGCTGGATATGTGAAGATGCAGTAGGAATATAAATTGAAATGGATGGATACTTCAGGTATGAAGTTTACTGCAAGACTTTTTTTTGACCGGTGTTCTGTCAGTTTGAGCACTTAAAAACGAATTTTTCAACCCCCTGCTTTACTCTTTGTTGCATCCATTTCCAAGAAATGTAATTGTCACTTGTCGGTACTTTATTTTGGCTTGCTTAAATAATTATTACAATTATGTGCAGATTTGGCAAGGGAATTTTAGTTTTTTATTTTATAATTATGTTTAAATTGCTTTTTGCAACTGCATGTGAATTGTGTGTGCTTTTTGTAACTGCATGCTAATTGTGTAGCATATTGGTTGCTTTAGTAGATAATTCAGTTGAGATAATAATTTGCAGACTTCTGGATTCATAATGTTTCAGACATAGCCTTTCCTGTGAAGTTCGGTTCTAACCAGCCTCACTAATTTGACAGGCAAGAGCTAATTGTGCCTTTGTTCTGTGTTAGACCGGCCGTGCGTGGAACAGCGTCCCCTCGCCGCTATGCACCGTATTAGATGCATTCATCCGTCGAAGGTTTATGCCGATCGGTAGCGTCGGCATCGGTCGGGTGAATTGTTCGCTCGTGCGGGAAGCCTTGGGCCGATTGAACGGGAAGACGGGACAGGCATCCGTGTAGCGGACTTCCTCTCTTGAATTCCTTCACAAGTTCGTCTCCTTTCGAGTTAAAAGAACTTGGTACATGTTCACGTACCAATATCATTATCTTAATTCATGAGTAGTTCATCTTTATATGTAAGTTTCAGTTTAGCTGCAGCAGTTGTAGTGTGCTGTATTTTTCAAATACATTTCCGTGACACTTAGATTCCAATGTAAATGTTACTATACTGATAATGATTCGAAAATAATTGTTGGCTGCAAAGTGACAAGATGAAGATGTAATTCTGTTGTTTTTTTTTATGTCTTAACAGGTTATTATTTCGGCATTATCGAGGTAGTGTTTTTGGCTGTTTAAGTTTCTCGTAGCAAGATAAGTCTTAAATTCTGTAACTTTTTTCGTGTGTTATCAATATACAATATATATGTACTGTGTATTTATGGATTGGTTTTGCGGTAAACCTCGCAAGTTTCCTCGTTTCCCACTGTTCATCTTTCAGTGTCGCAGCTCGCGAAAAAATTCACATCCCTATACCCTTAATCCATTTGATTCTTCAGTGTTTGAAGATGCACCCAGAGTCCGCCAAAGTAGGAACTTCTAAGGTAGGGATGATTGGAACACATCGTGGGCCACATTGAGTGCACCTGTGGCCTGTGTACGGACTGGTAGGTACAGTACTGGTCGATCCAGGCTCGATCACTCGTGCCCATCGCGAACTTGGCCTTGTTTGTGGCCAGGAAAGGCTTCCCGTCGTGTTTTCCACCCCTTCCGGTCGGAAATGTGTCGCGGAACCTTTCATGATGGAACAGGTGACTGCAGGACGTTATCCAGGGTGCTCACATGTAATAAATGTTGATGTAAGAGGTGACTTTTCAATAAAATAACACCCCAAACCCTTGGACTGCATTAAAGTTGTTCCCAGGAAAGTACCAATGAAACCCCTCGACTGCACCTGTTGTATCATCTACTGTAGAAGTAATGGAAGAGAATTGTGGCTAAGGGAGGTTGAGGAAGTGATTGAGACAAGATCTTGAGATTCCATGGCAGTGAAAATTAAATTCTGGTCTTGTGACACTATTTAAATAGCACAAAAAATTGGTGTCATAACCCATAGGACATGTGTTAAAATTTGGTATTATTTAACCTTTTGGCATAATGTAATATTGTGTATGGTTTATTATTAACACCTGTGGTTTGTTCGTTATGAAATTCCAATCAGCATTAGCTGTTGGCTCATTGTAAGTATGGTTTGAGGAGAAAATACAAGTGATGAAAAAGACATTTGGTGTTGTTAATATTGTGTATGTATAATGCGGGCTGCTCTTGTGTGGGATAGTAAGTTCCATTATCTATGGGGCACTGGGTGGGAGAGGATGCGAGATTGCTAAATAAATTTCCTGCTGCCTAACAGTGCCACGGATAAGACCTGCAGTGATGTGGGTGGGTTGAGTTTGTGTTGTACAGAACAGCTGGAATGGTAGACTGGGCGTCTGCTTGCAGCTAGCGTTGTACCCACTATATTCTGTCCCGTGGATGGCGTCAGTACTTGGCACAGCTTTAGCAAGAGCAGGATTCGTCGGCGCTATGAAGTGAGCAGCAGTCCCCGAATTGCCATATTGGACGGAATAGGGTGAGCCCCATAAAGTTTTCACATGTACGAGAGAAATAAATGGATGCTTGATTATATTCCAGGATAGTTTTATAGAAACGTGAGAATTTTCGTGTGACTACGCGTTACGTTTCGGTGTTAAGTATAAGGTAATTTTTTTTTATCTTGTTAGTATGCTATTGCCCACGACAGTGCATTTCATCTGCGTTATGTAGGGTAACCCAACGTTTAATTTAGTTACACGAAATTGGTAAGATTTTGAGTTTTCGCATTAGGAGTGTTCAAAATGATCTTCCCGAAGATGGAGACGGTATGTTCATACGAAACATAGGTACCCTCATGCAGTGCTTCGCGGTGTCAGCTGGAAAGTCATTATGAGCCAGATTTAATGTTTAGGACCCATTGTCACTTCGTGGGCCCAAAGGTTTAAGAATTGAATTGGTCCTTGGGGTAAATTCCGGGGTAGTGCCTCAGACAATGACCGATTTTCTACCCAGTTTGAGACTGAAAGTACTTTAAAATCCTTGCCGAGACATAGTAATTGACATGGGGTAGACGCGCAAGTGTAGTGCATTGTGCTCAATGTGAAAGGAAGTAAGAGTTGCATGTCTACCAGTTGTATAAATTAAGCTGATTGAAGTCATTGCATTAATTCCCCACAAGAATTAGGCACTGCTCCGAAATGCCCTTTGGATCAAATGCAGCAGTACGATGTCGATTAGTCTGTTGCCTGGCCAGCATATCAGTTTAATCGAAGTTTACATGCCGTTACAGTATTTGTTACACTTATATTGCAGTATTTATTATATTTACTCATCGTACAAATGTATAGATTTTCGTCGTNATAGCTATAACAAAAATTTGCTGGTAAACCTGTGAACACTTCTGGAGAAATTTTAGTGAAAGTCTCCTGCTTAGTTCATAAAGCCTTTTCTTTTTAACGATACCGATTACAGTGCCTCTACACGTACCGTTATCTCCAACAGTACGTGTAGAAGGAAATTCCCGAACCTGCTGTAAAAGTATTGGCCATTCCTCGAGCGCTTGCTGAACTGGGGTGGGGGTCTGAAGAGCCATTTCCAGACCTCCCAGTGGGTCGTAAAATGGGAAAATTTTATAAACAGATACGGATTTCTGACGTCTATAGTTTCAATGGCGTTCCATAACGCAATGGTGATATTGTCCCTTGTAGCGGAAAGGTAACCAACACCTTGAGAATGTTTGAGACCTTGGCAGTTATGTAGTATCCTTCCGCGATATTAATATAGTCACCAATTGGCGACATGACTGTTCGGTAAATATTTTTACAAACATTAAACTTAGCAGGTGTCTGGCATACGAAAGGAAAGTTGCTGCCGTACGCCTGTCGTGTATGTAATCAGTATGGTCGCACTTTTACCTATGAATCGATAAGGAGTGAATCGAAGCGGAGTTTTTCACCTTACGGGTGGAGTGCTTAATAAGTTGTGTGTGGTGAACTCTTCGCCCTTCCCAAGTCATCAGAATGAGGTTTAGAGTGATGTAAAATTTGTATGCAGTTCGGTATCTGTGTCGTATGCCACATATATACGAGTGTATTTCGAGAACATACAAGGAATTAATTGGTTTTCGGCATCCAAATTTGATTTGTATTCACTGTTACAAAGGGTTACGTCTGCTCCTACTAGATTATCGTTGGTAAAATAATGAGAGAATACCGAAATTTATTTTTTTTTGGCAGAAATTTTATTAGTCATTTATTTGGATGAACCATTTAGAAGCTGATAGTTGATAATTGTGTAGGAACTTCTCCAATGGAAACTGGTTCATGCCATGTTTAACAGCATTTTCCAACAAACATCCGTTCTCGTGTTTCACGCGTGCGACATTTACGGTGATTTCATTCCCGATTTGATCGACCTGACAATTCGTGACAAGTATAAAATATAAAGCTCGTAATGCGGTTTCATTCAGCCTGCCTGTGCTTGTTGCTAAGATAAGCGTGAAATTATTTATGGCCTTAATTAGTTAAACACAACGTCATGGTCTGTGGGGTAGTAGAGATGAGTGGTCAACCCCACGGGAGTGCTGCTATACCTCCGGGGAAACAGCTGCCGATACCCATTGCAAAGGATGCTGGTTGGGCTCATAGAGCCTGTCTGGACGTTTTGGTATTCGAAAACAAAGATGAACAGGAATGATCATAAAGCACTTGTTTCAGATTATTCTGACATGAATTGTGTATTTTTGTAAGCTATTCAGTAGTGAAATATTGCAGAGATGATTACTCTGAAAATGACTATAGACACGTGGTTTATATTGGATGCCTAATACTCAGTAACTACAACTAATTATACCACTTCATTAATCTACACGATTCACAAGACAGAGCACCATGTAGTGGTTCCTCTTTGTTCATTAGTCATTGCTTTGCAGCTGCTTCTAACTGAGGATTTCTTTGCTGCTTTCGTGTTCGGTGGATGTTCTCGCTGGCAGGCGACTTGACTGCTAACGATCCTGAGCAGAGAGTAAAGCAGTAATTTGCTGCTAGCTTCGCCATCACAGTCATTTTTGCTTTCGAGCCCAACGGAACCCATGAACATATTTTTCTGTCTCACCGTTCTGAATCGTGAGACTGGTTTGCAAGGGTTCGATCGGTCGGTTGTAGTGCTGCTGTTCTTCGCTAGTACAGTCTTGATTTGTGGCCCAGCGGAATCCATGACTACACAACAATAGAGGAACTGATGGAGGTGTTCTCTATGCTGTCCGCACCGAACTGCTTTGTTTTAACCTCTGGGGATGGCCACCAACAGTAACCTACCGACAAGGAAGCAGAGAATGGAATCTCCATTGTTAGAAGTCGCTACCAAGCAACTAGTAGGAATAAATACCAGTTACTTGCCGTTGGAGCTATTTTTTGGGTAGGTAAGTATCTATGTTAGAAAAAGATGGTTTATTAGGTCACGGGTTCAAGTCCCAATGAGGTCATTGGATTTTTTTTTTCAGTTGACCTAACCCTTCCAGCCGCACTATGGCCCTTGGGTTCACTCAGCCTCTAACAGAAATGAGTACCAGGAATTAATTGAATTATTTTCCTGTGGAGTAAAGCGCGTAAGGCTGACAACCTTACCGCCATCTTTGAGCCGATTGTCTAGATAATGTTGGACCCTCAACGTCTCACAACCCTATGGGCCTTCACGGCCTGGTACAGGGATAGCTTTACTTTCACTTATATATATATATATACATACATACATTACGTGGTACAGTCATTAAATTCGCGGACTGTGGTTTTATCGCGTCATATTGCAAGGTATTCACATACACTTACACAGATCCACATCGGCCCTCAAAATAGTTGCCGTTGGCCGCTATGCAAGTCTGCCAACGTTGATACAGTTGCAGAAAACATTGCTGAAACATATAGGGAGGAAATTCCCGTACGACGTCTCTTGTGACATTGACGACCTCTGACGACTGAAACCTACGACCAGGTAGCTTTGCTTTAAAGCGGTGAAAAATAAGGAAATCGCGTGGTGCGAGATCAGGTGAGTACGGAGGGTGTGGCAAAACGATGACCTGTTGCCTTGCCAGTTCCTCTTGGACAAGAACAGAGGGATGTGCACGGGCGTTGTCGTGTAGCAACAGCCAATTATTCTTACGCCAAAAGTTTCGCTAAGGGATTTGCCTAGTTTTTGGCAGAACTTGATGTTTGCCCGTTCAAACTGCCACATTTTAGATTTCCGCCACTTGAGTTTAACTGCAGTTCACAATAGAGGCAGTAGTTTGCTTATACTGTTTGCACACAACTGACTCTTGCTGTGACGAGAGATGAACTGACGGCATCATATAGTGCTTCAACCTATCCGCTATAGTGCTCTGCAACGACGCTTTGCGGCCAGTCCACGAACTTATTGACTATGATATTTAAGAGGCAGTCAAAGACGGATCACCACGCATAACTCACACGACGCGAAAATTGGTAACACTGGAATTTGCTTACGGTACGAACATTGATGGGGACTCGGGAAAGCACAGTGACAACGTGCACTTGCACACTAGTCGTTTCTTTATTGTGCTGGAAGTAAGGTTAACGCTCCGTGTGGTCGTCCAACATCAGTAGTAGAGGCGGATAAAGAACAGCAGCGAAGTGTAGTGCGCTTTGTGAATGCTGAAGGAGTAGTCGGACGAGAAATTTATCGTCGCATGTCTGTTTACGGCGAACACAGCATGTCACGTTCACATGTGCTGGCGTGGCATAAGAGATTCCGAGAGGGACGTGTGTCACTGCAAGATGATGCTCGCCCAGGACAGGCTCATTGTGTCATCACTCCTGATGTTATTGCTGCGTTGGATGGTCATATCCGGGAAAACCGACGGATCACTGTGGAAGAAATTAGTTTTTTGACGGGAATAAGTCACGGTTCCGTACACGTCACTGTGACAAAATACCTGCTGTACCGCAAAATCTGCGCGCAGTGGGTTCCACATCAACTCACGGAGGAAAAGAAGACTCAGAGATTGGCTGCATCGCTGGGACACTTGCAACGAAACCATGAGGAAGAAGAGTGTGGTTTTCTTTCCCATATTGCCACTGGAGACGAAACTTGGTGCCACCATTTTGAACCCGAGAGCAAACGGCAGAGCCAACAATGGAAACACGTGAATTCTCATCCACCAAAGAAATCCAAAGCCGTACACGCAAGTTCCGGTAAAGTGATGGCGTTCTTCGACTGCAAGGGCCCTCTGCTTGGCTAATTTTTCGAGCATGGGGCCACAATCAGAGCACAGCGCTGTGAAGACACTTTGCAGAAACTGAGACGCGCCATAAAGTCAAAACACCCTGGAATGTTATCGAACGGCATTATCCTTCTTTATGATAATGCGCGCCCCCACGCTGCCAAGTCTGTGAGGAATACGCTACAGAGATTTGGTTGGGAAGTGCTTCAACCTCCCCCCTACAGCCCAGATCTCTCCCCATGTGATTTTCACATTTTTTGGAGACCTGAAGAGAGACATTCGTGGACATCTGTTTGCATCGGACGCAGACGTGTGTGGCTGGGTAAAGATGTGGTTCCGTAGACAGCCCACAAGCTTTTTCAAGGATGGGATTGACCGTTTTATCTCCCAGTGGGATAAATATGTTAACAGTTTTGGAGATTACTTTTGAGGTAAGAAATGTTCTTTAATATGTTTTGGGTTCTGCCCTGTTTTCATTTGACTGCCCCTCATATATATGGGGCACTATGCTACAAACTGGAAGGTCACGGGATCAAAACCCCATGAGGTGGATTTTTTCAATTTACGTAATCCTTCCAGCCACACTATGGCTCTGGGGTCGACATGCCTCTAACAGAAATGAGAACCAGGAATGTTCTTGAGGGTAGAGGGCGGCCGGCGCGTGGGGCTGAGAACCTTACCGCCATCTCTGAGCCTATTTTCTAGAAAATGTGAGAACCTCAACATCTCACAACCCTATGGGCCTCCACGGCCTGCTGCAGGATTAGCTTTACTTTGATATATATATATATATACAGGGTGTTTCACGACTTTAGGGCATAACTGGAGGGGGTGATTTCCTAGGTAATTGTGATCAAAAAAGTTCATATAAACATGTGTCCGATTTTGAACGGTTACGGAGTTATGACCGTTTTTTCATTCCCGTACACGCCCTCTTGTGAACCGCGTCTGTCAGCTGGCGGGTCGCTATTTTTAGCCAGCTACAGACAGAGTGTTCTCGTTATCTCGACACTTGATAGCAACTTGAAGTGTGGTGGGTTGGTATGTACGGCGCGGTTCACAACCGAGCGGCAGCCTGTGTTGCGGCCGGCGGTGGCATTTTCGAAAATCAACTTTAAGCACCAATAAATTCAAATTAAAGGTAATTTCACGAAGTTAACTTTACATTCTACTTTAAATGTATCATGTATTATGCTGGTTTATTATTTTGTTCCGTTTATTGTCTGTAATCGTTACCTTCTATTCTGAGTTTAAAACAGTCATAACTCCGTAACTGTCCAAAATCGGACACATATTTATATGAACTTTTTTGTTCACAAAGACCTAGGAAATCACCGCCTGCAGTTATGGCCTAAAGTCGTGAAACAGCCTGTATGTGCATAGCTCTTGTGTACGTGGTAATCTTGAAGTAACTTCGACTTTGACACAGTAATCATATTCGGGTTCCATAAAAACAGGACAATTTCTCGACCAGCCGAGTAACTGTCGAACTTCTTTGGAAAGTTTTTTTTCACCGAGGAGTTAACTGAAGTTAAAAAAGTACACCCTAAAGCGAGAGTTATCCCTTGTGGATGGACATTTATCACGAAAATATTGTTTCAGTTCGGCATTGCAAAACATTCGCTTTTGAAACTGGGCTATTCGTAATGTGGCGCCTGGGATGCTGCCCTTGTTGGAAAGGGTCAGCTAAGCCTGAGGTGGAAGACTCGAGTCTTCTGACTGACCCACAGTGGCAGTCAGACGGAGGTGCGATGAAAGCACAGTATTATACTGTTCGCAGGATTTCAAGGTAGGTGGACGAACAAGGTCTTACTTAAAAGAGCCTATTAATATGAGCCATATTTTCATGTCTTGTGTACTGTTGCTATCACTGTGATATTTGACGAGGCGATTATACAATCTTATGCCAATTTTCTCGGTAGTTTTGGGCGCACAGTTTCTGGGGAAGATATCAGTGACACTGGCGGAGAACAGAGGAATGAGGGCATGGAGTATCGAGCAGAACTTAGGACTGCGAAGTTTCAGAAGTCGGAACCAGGTATGAGTGATTGTTTCCAGGCTGAATAGTAGAGTACGTGGTGTGTTCAAAAAGTATCGAACCTTTGGTCGGCAGAAATACATTTATTGATTTGGAGGTACAAAACCCTAATCCCCTTCAAAGTAGTCTCCTTGGTAATGCACACACTTCTCCCAGCGCTTCCGCCATTGTTGGAAACACTTCTGGAACGCGTCTTTTGGAATTGTGATCAGCCGGGCTGTGGCATTCCGCATGGTGTCTTCTCTTGACTCAAATCGGGTTCCTTTCAGCGGCATTTTCAGCTTGGGAAATAGCCAAAGTCACACGGAGCCATGTCGGGGGAGTAGGGAGCCTGACGAACCACAGGGATGTTGTGTTTGGCGACGAAATTCTGAATCAGATGCGCAGAATTGGCGGGTGCGTTATCATGATGGAGCTGCCAAGTTTTTGCTGCCCACAGATCCGGTCGTTTGCGCCGCACAGCATCACGAAGGCGACGAAGGACCTCCTGGTAGTATTCCTTTGTGATGGTTTGGCCTTGTGGTGCGTACTCATGATGCACAACCCCACGGGAGTCGAAGAAAACGGCCAACATGACCTTCACATTGGTGCGGACCTGCCTTGCTTTTTTTGGCATCGAGGATGTCTGAGGTTTCACTGTGACTACTGCGTCTTGGTTTCCGTGTGGTACCCATAAACCCACGAATCATCGCCTGTGATCATGGTGTTCAGAAAGTTTGGGTTACTGTCTGCATTGTCCAGCATGTCCTGTGCGATTTCCAGACGGCGTTGCTTCCGCTCCATTGTTAGCAGTTTCGGTACGAATTTCGCGGACACGCTCCTCATGCCCAAATCCTCGGTCAAAATTGAATGTACCGATCCAGTGCTTACCCCTATCTCGTTCACAAGTTCTCGGACTGTGATACGACTGTCTTCCATGACCAAAGTCCGAACTTGCTCAATGACATTCTCATTTCGGCTTGTTGAGGGTCTGCCTGAACGCGGTTCGTTGTCCACCGATGTGCGGCCATCTTTGAAGCGGTTGTACCACTCCTTTATACGTGAGTTGCTCATGGCATCGTCCCCGAAAGCCTGTTGAATCTTGCGAATGGTTTCCACTTGTGTATCGCCAAGCTTATGGCTAAATTTGATGCAATATCGCTGGTCATGTTGTTCCGTCATTTTACACTGGAATCCGACGAGCGCTCACTACACGTCCTCACTCATAGGCCGACTGCCAGCGACTGACGCTTTCTGCGGGCGGAAAAGAATTCACGACTACGCATGATTGTCCTCTCCACATATCCACCGAAGGGTGCCTCCCGCGCTTCATTGGTTTACGCGGGAAAAAAGAAGGTTCGACACTTTTTGAACACACCACGTATGTATTCCTGCCTGCTGACATTAAGCGGGCCCTTGTCTAGCCATAAAATGTTGAGCTTCCCGGAATGTTCGAGTCGGTTATAAGGTGCGCAGGTTAGTTAAATTACAAATACGTGATTAATAGGATCCCCCCCTGGCCGGGATAGCGCGGCCAGTATAGTGGCGTTTCTGTCTGGACGGCCGAGGGGCGGGGATTTTGAGTCTCTGTAGGTGCAAGATTTTCTTCCTTCTACGTCGCCCAGACCGGT